TTCTGGTAAAGGCCTGAGGCTTCTTCATAACATGCTAGAGAAGCAGACAGGGAAGCAGGCACATGCAGAGACCATACCTGAGAGGAAGCCTCACTTTTATAATGACCAGTACTCACAGTAACGGATCCAGTTCTAAAGAGCTAGACTCACCCCCATGAGAAAGGCATTAATCCTCTTAACAACCTAATCACCTCTTAGTGGCAACATCTTCCAGCACTGCCACCCTGGGGACCAAGCCTTGGGGGTGAGGACAAACCATATTCAAACCAAAGCATTCTGCCCCTAGCTGCCCAAAACGCATGTCCTTGTCACAATGCAAAATTCTATCCTCAATGTCCCGAAGTCTTTTTTTTTTTTTTGAGTTTGAGTCTCACTTTGTTGCCCAGGCTGGAGTGCAGAGTCATGCTCATGGCCACTGCAGCCTCAACCCACTGGGTACAGGTGATCCTTCCACCTCATCCTTCCAAGTAGCTGGAACCACAGGTGCATGCCACCACAACCAGCTAATTTTTGATTTATTGTAGAGACAAAGGTCATGCCAGGTTGCCCAGGCTGGTCTTAAACCCCTGGGCTCAGGCAATCCTCTCACCTCTGCTTCCCACAGTGCTGGGATTACAGGCGCAAGCCACCATGCCTGACCAGTACCAAAAGTCTTATCTCATCCAGCACCAACTTCAGAGTCCAGAGTCTCTTCTGTGAGCCTGTGAATTAGAAACCAATTATCTACTTCCAAGATACAATAAGGCATAAGGTACATATTCCTACTCCAAAAGGGAGAAATAGGCCAGAAGAAAAGAGTGACAGTCCCACATCAAGTTTGAAACCCAGCAGGCAGACTTTTTTTAAGTTTTAAAATTTTAGATTCAGGGTTACAAGTGCATTTTTGCCATATTGGCATGTTGCATACTGGAGGGGATTGGGCTTTGGGTGTCCCCACTCCCCAAATAGTGAACATAGTACCCAAGAGGATGCTTCTGAACCCTCACCCCTCATTCTGCCTCCCCTCTTTTGGCATGCCCAGTGTCTGTTATTTCCATCTTTCTGTCCATTTAGCTCTTGTATAAGTGAGAATATGTGGTGTTTGGTTTTGTTTCTGAGTTGGTTCACTTTGGATAATGGCCTCCAGGTCCATCCATGTTGCTGCAAAGCAAATGATTTCTTTCTTTTTTATGACTGTGTAGTATTTTGTGGAATATATATACCACATTTTCTTTATCCAATCCATTGTTGGTGGGCGCTTAAGTTGGTTCCATAGCTTTGCTATCGTGAATAGTCTTGCGATGAACATTAGTACAGGTTTCTTTTTTACATAATGATTTTTCTTTTGGGTAGGTACCCAGTGCCAGAGACCAGCTCCAGCCGGGTTCAGGGGACCCTAAAGGTGGAGACAGCGTCGGTGATTGGGGGGAAGAAGAAAGAGAGAGAGAGAGAGAAAGAGAGACTGGACTCCAGTCTAGTGCAGAGGCGATGTGTGTTATTGGGAGTTACAACGGGTCTTTTATATACAAAGTCAGATGTGGGAGGGGCATCCCCCACCCACCAGAAACCTTAATCCATGAAAACTTAATCAATGATTGCCTTTAAACCCTTTTCATATGATAATCTTAAAATCCCATAACAAAGGATAACCCAATCCGTGACTGCCATATTCTATAAACCTTTTTCAACCTAAGCTGATTGATTTATGCCAAGGTAAACAATTCTATAGAAGCTTAAATATTTACAAACAAAAGTGGCCCATCCCAGAATGTTTGGAATGTGGCCCAGTCCAAACTTCACAGTGGGCTACCTGCAAGTAACCCAGCCGCATTCTTTCAACAAAATGGCTGTCTTTTAAAACTATATTCTACAATTTACACCTTATTCAACTTCAATAAATCTTAAGATCATGACCCAGAAGCCTGTGACCAATATTAAGGATCTTAGATGTGACCTGAGTTTGAATTGTAAGTTGTGTGAAAGCCAAAACTGCAGTTTGTGGAAGAATGGGAGCAATGAGCTTCTAAAGTTAGCTTGTGTTCGTCCCGGTCTCAGAGTTTTTATGTTTTGAACTCACAGGAGCTTAATCTGGTTAGTGCTGAGTAGAAAGGGGGAGGAAATGGGGTCAATAGCTCCCAAACGCATCCTAGTGGTCTCAGGGTTAACAGCCCTTCCTGATCCCTAACACTCAGTGGGCCTCCGTGGCCAGCTCCCAACAATGCCTATTAGTACCTATCAAGCTCTAAGAGGATAATGTTCTTTTCCTGGGAGGAAAGGACCACAAAGTATTACAAAATTGAGAAATTTTAATAAAAATCTATCTCTTTAAAAATTAAAACAACTGGTAACATTTTTATATTGCAACAAATGAGTGCTAAGTAGCTTGTCACCCACTGAAATAGAGTGTCACTGTCTAATTTACTTCTGACCCACTTGTTTATGTTGCTTATATTTACTCAAATAGTTAATAAATTGAGTTAATTGTTAAAAGTCAAATATCATGTGACAATTAGCATAAAACACTAAACTTACATCAGATAAAATTCCTTATTCATTCCTGGCTTAATATATAAGTATATCATATACTTATTCAATTTAATGAATATGATTAATATATAAATTCTGATTAAATTAAGAATAAAAGAATAGCTCAAACTAATAGCCATATCATACTGAATGATGAAGCATTGTTAAATGCATTTCCCAGAAAGTAAGAAAAAGATAAGATCCCTATTATCTTCACTATTGTTAATCTCTGTTTATCCCCTATGAATTAAGATAAAAGCAGTACTATAATGTGTAATTGTTTATAATATATTAAGCAGAACGAAAGGCAGATTATAAAAGAACAAAAAATATACTATTT